CTTGTCACCAGCCTCCAACTAGACTCAGCGCCGCTGATGACAACCCCCTGAGTTCTGCCATTCAGCCAGTTCTCAGTCCATCTCACTGACCACTCATCTAGCCCACACTTCCTGAGCTTCCCTAGGAGGATGTTATGGGAGACTGTGTCGAAAGCCTTGCTGAAGTCTAGGTAGGCAACATCCACGGCTCTCCCTTCATCTACCCAGCCAGTCATGCCATCTTAGAAAGCTATCAGATTGGTCAGGCATGATTTCCCCTTGGCGAATCCATGCTGACTACTCCTGATAACCTTCTTTTCCTCCACTAAAAAATCAAGAATAAAATCAAGAATAACAATAAAAAGCAGCCACAAACTGAGTCAGTGACTTCACACCAGCCTCTGTTCAAAGGTGCTGCTGGGACCTTGAATCAATTAACAGTTGTTAACAAAAATTGAACCGAATTAAGCAATTTCTGCCCGACTAGATTTTCTCTGCTTTTCCATCAGGCTCCTAACGTGGATATTTGATAGTGGTAGCAGAAAACACTGTCCTCTATTGCTGTGGTGCCCAAGAAAATCCATTGGAGTGTGGGAAGAAAATATTTGTATGCTATTAATAAATAAAATCTAAAATATTTTTATAATAGCATCTATTTCACAGAATCACAGAATCACAGAATGGTCGGGGTTGGAAGGGACCTCTGTAAGGAGACTCCACAGCCTCCCTGGGCATCCTGGGCCAGGGCTCCGTCACCCTCAGAGGGAAGAAATTCTTCCTCATGTTCAGACAGGACTTTCTCTGCTTCAGTTTGTGCCCGTTGCCCTTTGTCCTGTCGCTGGGCACCACTGAAAAGAGCTTGGCCCCATCCTCCTGACACCCACCCTGCAGATATTTGTAGGCATTTCTAAGGTCCCCTCTCAGCCTTCTCTTCTCCAGGATGAACAAGCACAGCGCCCTCAACCTTTCCTAGTAGGGGAGATGCTCCAGTCCCCTCACCATCCTCGTAGCCCTCCACTGGACTCTCTCCAGTAGCTCCTCATCTTTCTTGAACTGGAGGTCCCAGAACTGGACACAGGACTCCAGATGGAGCCTCACTAGGACAGAGTAGAGGGGGAGAAGAACCTCCCTTGACCTGCTGGACACACTCCTCTTAATGCATCCCAGGATCCCATTGGCCTTCTTGGCAGCCAGGGCACGCTGCTGGCTCATGGTTAACCTGTCGTCCACCAGCACACCCAGGTCCCTCTCCACAGAGCTGCTCTCCAGCAGGTCCACCCCAAGCCTGTACTGATGCCTGGGGTTGTTTCTTCCAGGGGCAGGACTCTGCACTTGCCGTGTCGAACTTCATCAATTTAAGTTTCAGCTTTATCTGCCTTTTACATTTCTATTTTTGTGTATGCTTTATTATCTACATAATAGCACAGTAGTACATATGTACAATTTATAAATAAATATGTGTGTGTTGGGGGAGGTGCTGAGAAAATTATTTACTGCTAGGGGACACGTGGTCAAAAAAATTGGAGATCACAGCTCTACTGGATGCTCATATGTTTATACACCGTTTGAAAGCACTTTCCTGGTTCTAACTGTGACTATATTCCTGATCGGATATATTTATTTGTATACTGTCATTTCTTTCTATTCTGCCCAAGTGAATTTGCATCCTACATAGACATATATGCTTAACTAGAAGGCTATAAAACACGCACAAGATGATTAGCTAAAATGTAATCATTTACGTAAATGCTGGTAAATGATCTGCAAAAGTGATGCAGAAATTCACCTGACAAAAGATTGACCTTGCTGGATTTCTGCACTGATACGTGCTTTCATTTTATACAAATCCTTCTTGAAATAAACTGGAATTTTCAGAATTATTAGAAATTGTAGCGTCATGAATATACAATAAATACAGCTAAAATCGACATTTTTTTACTCCAGCTTACATTTGTTCTTAATACAATTTCATTATGTTAATTGCATAATATTGCAGCCTGGGCACAAAACTCTCCTAAATTTCTTCATATGTAGAAGGAGAATTTGCAAATGGGCACGTCTGGGATTTTTACTGGTAAGATAAAACCTCCTCAATTATTAAAAACCGAAGTGCAGATAAAAAAATCCGAATCAACATTTGTCTTGGTGGTTTCAAACTGGGCCAGCTACTTAATAAAAATCTGCGTATGTGGAATAGGTCCCCTGAAGTAAATTAAGTTGCCCCAATTTATTGCGAAATTAGTTTATCCTACCAGAATAGGCTATTGCATATATAACTTTTTTTAAAAAAATCAATAATTAGGGACCTGCAACCGTTTTCACAACGCTGGATAAGAGATGGTCCATCACAGACGGTTAGTGGCGTGTTGGGATACCAAAACAATTTAAAAACTGCCAAATTAAAAGAATTTAGCTAAACCTACGCCAGCAATCAACTGGTGTACTCCAAACCAGTTAATTAACGTGACGTACCTGATTAGCAGTAAATGAGGTCAGCAGATACACACCTTCTTCATACGCATCTGTTAAAAAGAAAGAAGAAAGTAAATGTATCTGCTGTTCACCTTTTTTTTTTAATTAAATAGAAGAATGTTTCTGCATATACTACACACAGGTATACGCATCATGCAGGCTTTAAAAAAAAAAATCCCAATTTTGTGCCTTACTTGGGATAATCTCAGGGGAGAGCTTGTAGTTTTCACAAAGACAACACACAGTGGATGGTGTAAGGGGCAAGAGGCTTCTGGCTATGTCTCATCTGAAGATAATTTGAATTTATCAGTATGGAGGAAATAAGTTAAATCTCCCCACTTCATCCAGGGTTGTGTTCCCCATAGGTCTGAGATCAAGTCCTTATTAGATATCTTGTCCTGTGTCCTGGGCACTACTTAATTGATGCAAAATATGTATCCTATAAATAAGAGCATTACGTTCTTATCGTACCATCTTTTTACTCATTTAATATTTTATCCTTTTTATTGTTTAACATTTTCCTGTAATTTGAGTTTAATTTATTTAGCTTAATGATTTTACTGTCATTTTTTTCCCAGTTTGTGTTCCTATGACGTGTTGCACAGCTGTACAATAATCCCAAAATAAAAATTAACTGTTCGTGTTCACAATCCACCGAGCTAAAGAAAGGCAATATTTACACCTTGTCGACTCCAAATTAGTTCATTTATCTTGTAAACAAGAAACTTTGTACTTACCAATGCGCACCCCGTCATCCCAGTAAAGTTGACCTTCTGCAAGCTGACTGTCATTCAACGCAGCGGTAAGTGCCAATGGGTTATTTCGGCTATGAAAAATAGAAAATTTTTCTCAGATAATAACATTTTATCTTTCTCAGGTGCCATAATTTATATTCTAGAACTTGTACACAACTCAAATTATCTCTGTTACCAGTCTTCCCCAATCCGTAGCTTTACATTTAAAAGACACCATGGGGAGGAAATCAAAACGTGAAAAAAAGTCTTAAAATTATGGTGCTTCCATGCATATTGATTTTCTCAGGACTCATAATATTTATACCAAATGGGAGCTACCTCCAAGCATGGTGTACGTTAAACCAGAAAATTATACTTTCCCCAGGCTGAAAATAAGGAGGCCAGAAAAACACTCTCGCTATGTAATTCATACACAATTTATTTGCCGGGCCACTAATTAAATAACTTCCCTAAAAAGCAAAAAAAAACAAAAATGAAATTAAATTTTATTTGTTCAGTTCTTCTTATCGTACCTGTAAAATGTCGTATTAGCAGGGATTTGCTGAGGGAGGATGTAACCGCCTCGGATGTGGAGGTTGATATGGTCCAAGGGAGATGACAAATTTCTGAACAGTCCCCTAAAGTCAACATACTCATCCTATTTATAATTAAAAATAAAACACAAAGGATAGTCTCCTTGTTGAATGTTTTAAACTTCTTTTAGGATATCTATTTATTTTAGAATATTTATTTATATTATTTATTCCAAATTATTTAGAAACTTTGAATATTTAAAACTTATTAGAATATATATTTATACATTTAATTTAGATTATATATATTAGAATATGTATTTTAT